TTCAGCAGGGTGAGCAAGGTGCACTGTTCTCAGAAATACGTGTGAAAACTGACCTGGCAGCAACTAAACCAAGAAAGGGTTTCCTCATCAGCAAGCTTAAAAGCTAGAGAGCTCCTCTTTGTCATCTGAGCCCCTTGGGGTAGTGCTGTGTCTAGTGAAAAGCAGATCTCATTTAAAACCCACTGACCAGGTCTCTCTTTTCCATGGGTAGATTAAAAGCTTTAGATGACTTTCATGATAATTATCAGCACTTTCACATTTACATAGTACCACATTACAGCAGAAAGAATATTAATTTGTTTACTGTGTGTGATTGGATTTCCAGGTTCATGAGTATTGCACCTGTTGTGAAAATTCATTTTTGTACATCACAAAGACTTTATTCTCCCTGTGCTCACAGGTCCAGAATTTGGAGGGCAGAAGAACTGTGTGTATATTGGCATGGTAACTGAGGACCTGGATGTGTCAGAGTTAGTTGAAACCATTGCAGCAACAGGCAGAGAAATTGAAGAAAATTCAAGAGTATGTATTAAAAAATCTCTGAACATTTCAGCCCCTTTTTTAATTCCCTTCCATATTGGCTTCAGGACATGGTTTTGTTCTTTGTGAAAGTAAGAACTGTACTTGCCCACAACACACTCTTGTAAATTACTGTAGAAGTAATAATTTGTGTCCACATAAGGAGAACTTCTGTGACAGAGTTACAGTATTCTGAGGATATCCTGATTTCTGTTTAGTGATCCTGTGTCCAGTAGTTCCAGTGAAAAACTTGAGTAGTACTGAAATAGGCTCATTTTATCACTAAAATTTAAGCTGTCAAAAAAACCCCAAAAAACAGGGAGAAAGTGGGGGCTTACTGTGAGCTGGTGTTTCTCATCACTGCTACAGGCAGTGGGATTCAGATTGCTTATATGCAGCTTTAAGGTAAGACTGTGTCTTAAAAAGTGTGAAAAAAATTAAATTGGTGGCTTTAAAAGATAAATTATTTATTACCTATTGAAGTAATAAAGCTGATGATGCAACCCCTTTTTGTAAAAGATTTACCTGATTAGAATTCTCCAGATGTTCTCTAAAGTAGAATTTATAAATTACATTTATCACAAATTAATGTCTGTCCTTCTGTTCCTGCAGTGTTGGGCATTTTATTTCCTCACGTAAAAAATAAACAGAACTTGAAAAAACCTTAGCCTGTTTCTGCCCATGGGAACATTTTTATTTTGACAATGCAACTTTTTCTAGCAGTGTTTTCTGGTGATTATCTGCCCGCTCTTTGCTTCCTATATGCTGTTCTGAGATGGAAGATGGCTTGCCTGCAGAGTACTTCAGTATTTTAACTGTTGTAGTTCAGAGATTAGGAACTGAATACTGGGATATAAGCCACTCTGATCCTAAAGCTTCTATGAAGGAACAAAGAGTGGGGACTCAGAAAGCTGCAGTCCTTGGAACCAGCTACAATCAGTCTGTAGCACTGAAAAGAATCAAATCCATTTGATCCCAAACTGAGATGCAGAACCAATCTGTGAGAAGAATCACACTTGCATCATTTCAATAAGTGATGTTTGGTACAAGAGGAAAGGTTTTAGAAAAAAAACAAAACCTACTCAGCAAGCCCTTAGGCCATCTAGACAAGTACACTAAAAGGCAGAACCAACATTTAAGACAAACAGCTTGACTGGACCAGAAGACATGGTGGTTCTTCCTTGTACTCTAAATGCAATCCTATTGTGCTACCTTGTGTAGTCAGCACTTTGGGGTATTTAGCTTGGTGATAGTTCCTGCCTTGCCTTTCCCTCAGGAAAAAGGAGCAACTTCCTTTTTCCTGTTTTTATGAAGTGACAGTAACCCACATTTTTAGCAAGTTGGAAGAAGTGCCTGTCATCTAGGCTCTGTGCAATATTGAAATCCAGATTAATTTAGGGATTGCACATGACAAAATTGTGACTTTGCATTTGTTAATGTATTGTCTGTACAGCTCCCTGTAAAGTGCTTGTCCTTTGCAGTGTAAAAATTCACTGCTGCTGGCATAGGATGCCACAGGGATCAGACTGACAGTCATAGATTAAATTTGAAAAACAAAGTTGAAGCTGTAGCTAGAGAGACACATACCTGGCTAGACCGACAGTGAGGCCGGTTTAACTCCTGGGCATTTATAGACACCAAAATCTACTCTATAAACCTAAAAATTCTCCCCAGATTCAGCATCTGATGAACACTTTTGTGCTAAGCAGATCTTTGAAGAATTTAGGTCACAGACTCTGTAAGTAAAATAAAAATATGTACCATTCCTGTTTAAAATGACATTCTGTCCTTTGGGTCCATCTTCTAAAGACCCTGCAGTCAGTCTGTACATTCTTGAATTTATAGTCATAATGAAATAGTGATTATCAAATGTCTTAAATTAAGAAAATACCTGACTACCATGTTTACATCCTCAAAACCTGAACTAAAAGACAATTTCAAGTCAAATGTGTAATAAACAATTATTATTATTATTATTAGCTGTTGGAAAACATGACTGAGGTTGTCAGAAAAGGGATACAGGAAGCACAACTGCAGCTTCAGAAAGCCAATGAAGAACGACTTCTGGAAGAGGTAAGGCTGTGACCAGCAGTTACCAAGGTGATGTGAAAGAACTTGTGACAACAGGGGGGCTTGCTCACCAGGCAGTGTTTGACTGTTGCTTTGCAGGGACTGCTACGACAGATTCCTGTAGTGGGCTCTGTGCTGAACTGGTTTTCTCCATTCCAAGCCTCGCCAAAGGGAAGAACATTTAATTTAACAGCAGGTAGGACTCTGCATCTGCAGCCATGTTATGCTGTTAGAACTGCTTCCAATGTTATACTCGAACTGCAACACTTTCTTGTGCTGATTTGATCCTGAGTGACATAATCCACCCACAGGGTGTGAAAGAACAAGCTAATCACTATTTCTTTAACACCCAATGAGATATCTTCTAACCTTGCTTGTACAGTTAGTTTTGTTCTTGCATGTTGAATGGTGACAACCTGTGTCAGTCACGTTCAAAAGAAGCTGTATTAGGCACCAGCATTTATTAAGAGGACTAATTTTGGTGACTCTGTCTACATGTGGCACTCAGACGTTCCCTGGTGCTGCTGGAACTTGTCTCTGAAATCCTGGATTGCAGAATCAGCTGGCTATTGCCACACTGATGAAGTGCCAGTCTGCATGCTGAAGACATGTCTGACAAGGGCAGGATAAAACCAGCTGACAACTAGCATGAATGTGGCCGTGTTGATGACAGTAACAAATGGAATCTAACAATGTAAAATACTACACTTCACTAATGTATTTGTAATTCCTGTCTGATGGTGCAAGAACTGTCTATAGCATTTACATCATAAGACTGATGTACTAATGTAATGCTTTCTGAAATTATAAATTTTCACTGTAAAAATTTTGGTAGTCTTTGTATCAGCAGTGTGAAGTGAGGGGGAACCTTATTCATCTTGGTAAATCTCAGCACTTGTGTCCTCAGGTACTAAGAAATGGATTGTTATCACATAGCAGTTTCAACTCAAACAGAACACTTTCAGAAGTGTGCACTAAAACCAGGATTTTTACATACCTTATAACTACAGACTAACAGAAAACTTGTCTAGTTTGTGCTATATTTAACTTGATTTTTTTTTCCACCCTGCAGGCTCTCTAGAATCCACAGAATCTACATATGTATCAAAAGCCCAAGGAACAGGCACTACCCCACCACCAACTCCTACTTCTAGCCTTGCAAAGCAAAGATTTCCTGGTAAGTTTCTACATCTCAGTTTTATTTCTAAAACATCCAAATTGTGTGACATAGGAGGACCCACATGATTTTCTATCTGGAAACTCCAGATGGAGTTCCACTGGAACTACAGCTCATCTTCTAGCACTTAAAAACCCTTAATTTAAACCTAGCAGGGAATACCAGCCCTTTCTGTTTTTCTCCCTGGGATTACAGCAAGTTGTTATCCCATTAATTAGCAACTGTGTATGAAGTTGGAATACTCTGAGGTTATTGGCTTTTAAAAATGACCAGGTAAAGAAGCCAAAAGTCTTACCTGAAATAAATGCATAAACGTGTAATCGTGCAGTTGAGTAACTGCTTTTCTGTTGCTACCTAATATTTTGTGGACAAAGTAATTTTAAGGTGAAGATCTCTTAAATCAATGGCATTTTCTGTGTGTTGTCTGTGTGTATTAGCAATTAATGTTGATGTGACTGGCAGAAAAACCATAGTTTTAACTCACCTTGTCAGCTGGTTGGCTCCCAGCCTGTGATTCTCAGTGCAAGTTTTTACCCTAGAATTACTTCCCTGTGCATGTGGACAGCTTGTTTTTCAGTTGAATTTTAACAGTCTCTGTTTACACAGGATAAAACAGCAGTTGCTACTGCCTTGCATGCTAATCTGTAACTGCAACTGTGTCTGTGCTTCAGGTGTAAGTTCGCACCCAAAAAAAAATCTGTTTCTTTGCAGTTGTAAAGTTCAGATAATTTCCTTGAAACTTAACTTGAGCACAGCACACTTTGCATTTGCTGTCTTCACTGGTTGCTTCAAAACCTTCACAGGTCAGAAAATTTTTAAAAGGTCTCTAAGAAATTCTGACACATTCAGTGAGACCAGTTCAGTCAGCCACTGTGATGACCTGGAGAAGATGGATCAGAGGCCCTCAACTCTATCTCCTGGCCAGCAGCAAAGACCTTTGGAGACAGAAACAACAGAGGAGCAGAAGGAGGTGGCCCAGGGAACAAAGACAGACACTGAGGACATTCCAAGTGACAAACCACCAAGTGACTGCAAGAAGGCAGAGCAACAAGAAAGTCAAAGATAAAATCCAGACTGAATTTCAGACTTCGCAGAGGAAGCCTGTGCCCTGGGAAGCCCATGCCCTGAGAGGCAGGCTGTTAATGATGCATTTAAATGTGAACAGTGCCACACACTAGTTACTGCTGTAACTAATTAACTGGGATTTTGCACAAATATAAATTCCCCTCCATGGGACAGAGACTTGTTTTACCCTACACTTGTTACAGTTGCTTTAATCCTCTACATGTCAATGACACCAAAGTTCTAGTGAAATTTAGTAACTGCTCATAAACATTTGTAAAAACAATTGGCAGTTATCCTTCCTGCAGGAATCCAAACATAATTGTTGTTAATTAACCAATCAGCCATACACAAGATTAAGAATACAGTTGCACCCAGTAGTTGTAAAATTATTTTATGTTAATACACTTTAAAATAATCAATTGCCAATTGTTCATCTTTTAATATTTAAAATTCAATTTAGCTCTCCTGCAAAACATCTGTTGCAGTCACACTGTGTTTTGCTGCTTTTCACCCTCCAAAGAACACACAGAGCTGTGGTGGGGTGAGTAGGAGGGATGGAGGCCTCTGCACCCAGGGCACTGTTGCCCTTTGCCATCAACCATTTCTCTCCTGGTTTTGTGACCTGACCCCTTCAGCTGAGGCCCTTGGGACAGCAGGGACTGCGTGAATAAGTTTTAAGCTGTTTAGAAAGAAATAGTGCCTCTGCATGCCTGAATGAATTCTTGCTTCTGCCACTGGTAAGAATCACCAACACACTCTTATTTTCCTTTGCACGCTGTTTACAAACCAAATACTATTGAACACATTTATGTAGTGTAACGAGTTCCTTCTGTTGTGTACTTTTACAGATAGTTGTAGAAGAGCTTGAAAAACTGATACATTTGTGATGGTTTCAACACTTACTTTTTGAATAACAGTAACTTACTTATGGTAGGAGTTGTACAGCCTTGAAGAAATTTTATCTGTTATTTACACTACAGCACAACTTCATAGTGTCTAGAACTACTTAATGCACATGCAAAACTTTGGAAAAATCAAAAGTTAAGATGTAGACATCTCCCCTCCCTACTACCTTCCCTAGTTACCTTAATCACTTTGCTGCAAATTTTCAGAGCTTCTTGTGGAAAGGAGATCTTTAGAAAAACTTGCTTTCCCCAAGGTATCTGATTTTGGGGAAAACCATCCCATCCCAACAGAATTGGATGCAAGTATTGTCATTTGTTTTTCTGGTTTTTGTTTGGGTTATTCTTCTCCCCCTAAAAGGCATAAAATTAACTCCATAATGGCTGTAGTGGCAGCAGAACTTACTTTGATAATCTGAAAAATTTGGGGGTTTTGAATTGTAGTGTCACCTGATTTTGACTTTCAGCTTTGATGCCAGGAACAAGGTTAATTTTGATGCTGGGATAACTTATGTAAATCAGAGTGCAATTTTTCTGAAGTGCTAAACCAATTAAGTTGACTGGTCTTCCTCATTGGTTTCCTTGGTGCAATGAAGTATGTTAATAGGACTAATTATTTGGGGGTAAAATTATCACTACAAGGATTTTTAATGTTTTTATATTTGGGAATGTTAAACCAGTAGTTTTGTTGGATTGAGCTTCATTCTTTGGCTACTATCTGAATGTCTCATTAAAGAGTCTTCAAGTTGTTTCTCCTGAATGAATTGCTGAAGGGGATGCTTCCCT